TGGGACTGCTTTATTCCCCCAGGCATAGATTTGTATACAATTGGTTCTTACACTCAATTGGCTTTCTGTGTAATGTATTTATTGTATCCACCATTACCAACAGAATATATTCACATTATTTGCTGGCACTTCCTGTATTTATAGTATGTACACCAGTTTTAGCTTTTGGGTAGAGACTTGGATATGAAATGGTTAAATCTGTAATTGTTGTGGCATTTTGTCTCACATGCTTCTTTCTTTGCATCCTGCATGTCTCCTGTAGTTGCCTCACTATGCAGTACCCAGTGTTGACCTTGATTCTGTTTCTCCCTTTCCTTCTTCTGTACTGCATGAATGAGCACCACTTTATGTTTTGTTCTGGCTTTAATTCAGTCTATGGACAATCCAACTGCCCTGAAAATCTCCAAGTTTCTCTCTAAAACTGAGACACCTTCCTTTAACAATTCCTTTCTTACTTAAGCATCTTGCATTCTACATGCTACCTGATCCCTTATCAATCTTGTTTCAGATACCTTCCAAATTACACCTACCTGCTAGCTTTTAAAAAGCAATATAATATTCTTCCACGCTTTCTCCTATAGCTTGTTTCTAAGTGAAGAAACTAGACCTTGCCACTGTTTCATTCTTTCTAGGGTAGCAGTGGGCACCAACACAACCTATCCATATCACCAAGGTATGCTGTGATTGATGAATGCTTACATACAATGTCTTACTTGTTTCTCTTTTCCTGGGAAAATCAGTTTCGTCTTCACAGCTTCTTCATTACCTGCCATTGTAATGTCCACATACAAATTAAACTTTTTTTTCCCTTTTTGTATTTCTTGGATTATGAGGCCTTGGATTTTCGGAGAACCCAAGTTGCATAATTGGTTTCTAGGCTCTTCCAGTCAAAATTATATCTGGTTGCAACAGTGGATCTGCTCTGTGATGTCTTTAAAATCTGTTGTCTGTCAGAATAAGAGAGTACTGGTCTAGATAGACCAGTGGTCTCGGAAAGTAATAAATGACTGTTTATGTCTAGTGGTACTTGAGTGAGTTAATTTTGAGCAAATTCATCATAGAATGGATAAAATCAATGCTGGACCAATCTTATTTACACAGGCTATATTTTTGACTTTGTAAACATCCTGTGTATTAGAAACCTTCAGCTACTATTGGTTCATTTTAATTACCACTCTAGCATTCTGGAGTGCACAGATCAACACTGGTATGTTGTCACGAGTCACATTGAAGCTAGCTTGTCAAAACAACAGTATTTTAAGCAAGGGAGAATGTAACCTGTTTCACAAGCAAACAAACATATTTTACATAATACAATCTTATACATGTTTACTCACCTGTGAATCACCCCAGAGTAACAATAGGAGCTGCCCTTTCCACTGTAATGTCATGTAATAGAATGTAACACTAATTGACATTTTATCGGGTAAGGGGAATGGAAAAATAATACAGATCTGTGAGGAAGAATGCTTTTGAACTCTGGCTTTGTGTGTGCGCGTCTGTATGCGCGCGCACACGCTATTATATTGTGTCATTCATGGAATTTTATTGCAAAAACATAATGCTTCCCCATAATTTTGCTTAGTTGTACAATATATTTTGACTGGTAGTACCGAAGTTATCTACCTGCAAGCAGTAGAAATTGTATAGCAGGAAAAATTCAATATAGGGCTCAGAGGCAGAATCAGCTTTGTATTATCACCAGGGAGGTATGTGGAATGCAGATGTAAAGAAGTGGAAGAAAATAAGCAGGGGCTTAAAGAGCCTTCTTTTTTATGTGTTTCAGAATTCTGCAAGAGAAGGCACTTAAGTGTAATTCAAGCATTTTTTTTCAGCCAGTGTTGTGAACATGGTTAAATGGAGCACCTCACTCCACTTCCCTCTGTCACTACTTTTACCAGATAAGATAAATGTTTACTCAAGGGGAAAATTTATATATGTACAGGAGCCAGACCTTCCAGGTTTCTTGATTGCTTATAGATCCAGGTTTCTTGATTGCTTATAGATCTTTGAAAATGAGCAGGAGATTCTCCTTCAAAGATTCATCCTTTCTTGTGTGCAGAAGGTTGGGGTTAGCTATACCTTCTAGCCATATTCACACTTGATGCAACAGTATCTGAATAGAGGTTTAGCCTCATAAGAAATCAGCCCTTTGGTCCCAATAATCACACATGAATGTTTCTGAGTACATTTACACATTAATTCATTCATTCAATTTGTATCCTGCTCCCAGTAGCACCAAGGCACTATTATGATGGGTGGTTACAATACACATAATAAAGACAAAAATAAAGATAAAAGCATTAAAAGCAACAACAATAACCCTAAAAACAGATAACACTGACTAATCATATAAGCCCAGAGTGGATGGGGGAAAAGAGGGGAAAGGGGAGGAAAGGGGGGAAGTGGTCAACTAGGGTCCGTGAGCCTAGAGTGGATGGGGGAAAGGGGGGGAAGGGGAGGAAGGGGGGAAGTGGTCAACTAGGGTCCGTGTGGAAAGCCTCCCGGAAAAGCAAATTTTTAATGGCTTCCTAAATGTCAACAAGGAGAGGGCTAGACAGAGCTCCTCCAGAAGCTAGTTCTATAAAGTTGGAGCCACTGTGAAGGAGGCCCTACCTCTTGTAGAAGATATATGGGCCTCCATCTGGGTAGCCACCTAGAGAAGCCTTGAGTGGATGATCTTGTGGGTCAGGATAAGTGGGCCTCCATCTGGATAGCCACCTGGAGGAGCCTTGAGTGGATGATCTTGTGGGTCAGGGAACATGAGGAGAAGATGCTCCAGCAAATAACATGGGCCCAAACTGTGGAGGGCTTTGTATGTGAGTGTCAAAGCCTTGAACCTGATCCAGGACACTATGCCCAACCAGTGGAGGCAAGCCAGAACCAGAGTGATGTGATCAAATTTACCCACCACCAAACTGGCCGCTGCATTCTGGACCTGCTGAAGACTCCAGATCAGGCTCAAGGGAATCCTCACATAGAGGGCATTTCTGGGAGATGGCCAGGGACTGACTGCTGCATTCTGGACCTGCTGAAGACTCCAGATCAGGCTCAAGGGAATCCTCACATAGAGGGCATTTCTGGGAGATGGCCAGGGCCTGCATCAAAGTCCCGAGGGAGTCCTCATCTAGGTAGAGGCGAAGTTGGGTGACTAGCCTAAATTGGTTAAAGGCTGATCTGGACATGGCTTATAGTATAAATCAGGGTTGAGTAATTTCCAGAGGCCTGGAGGGTGCATTTGCCTTGCTTGGGATGTCCAAGGCCTAGGGCCACTTCAGGCAGCAAACATTTTTTAGCTAATCCATGCCTTTCCCTACTTCCCATTAAGCTTGCAAGCTGGAAAAAAACAACAACCCTCACTATTATAGAACCCATATTCCCAAGGCACAATATGCTACTATATAATGAGGGACACTGTGATGTAGTAGTTAGAGATGGATTATTAAATTGATCACTCGATTAAGCAAGCAAGCAATCATAAACAGGTTGAATGTTCTTTCCTTCATGGAATTTTGAATTGGTGAACAGACCTAGAAATCAGAGGGAAACAGCAAATAATTGGAATATTCTTCATGGAATTTTGAATTGGTGAACAAACCTAGAAATCAGAGGGAAACAGCAAATAAAAGAGGCAGGGTACTGAGAGAAGGAAGAGTTCTGTGAAAAGTGTCTAGGAGAAAGAGATATCAAGGTAAGAAGTATGAAGGATACCTCCACACGGTGTTTTTACTGTGCAGTTGTCCTGTCTCATTCACAAAAAGGGGAGATAGTGCCAAGGTATTGTCTTCTGTTTGTAACCCATCTGCATTCCCCCACAGCTCCTTCCACCTTCATTTTCCATTCAGGAGAATAACAAACGTCTTCCCAGTGCCTGAGGATTGGTAGCACTCGTATGGAAGCCCTCTTAGACAAACAAAAGTACCAATAGTTGAGGGAGATGAAAGAGAGGATTATTAAGGAATAGGGGCTACAGTTCACACATTGCAATTTGAAATAGATCTTCAAATCTTTGGCGGTGAATCTTTTAATAAGTACGAGTCCATGGGGGAAGAAGATCTCTGGGTTGCTTTCAAGTACCATCTTTTTTTAAAAAAATCATCAGTAATTGTCAAATCACCAAAACAGGGAGCTGACTGCAAATTGTGCAGTCTGTAGTGCCACCACTGCAGTACTGTAACGGGAAGAGAACACCAGGCACTCCATGATGAATGCGGAGTCTTTTTCATTTGGTCACTGAGCTCTTCCCTGCCAGTGCTTCATCTGTGGATTAAACCATCTTCACTGCTTCTTTACAAGTTAAGTTTCTTCCATCTGCTTTGCTAACTTCCGAATTCCTCTTAGTCCCAGGAAAGAAAGGTCAGGTTCTTCTCATCTTTATTTCGTTGAACATGTGTTAAAAGAATGCATACAGTCACTAAAAACACTGTATTACACGCAGATGTCCCATTCTTTATTTTCTTACTAACCACCACCCTAAACACATCCTTATTGTCAACAGCAACAAAATGAATACTTACATTTTTGTTTCTAGCAAATTGTTTATGCGACAGTTTTACCAGGCAGAATATCAGGTTTAATTGTCCCCTTATATTTTGCCACTGATGCAATTGTTACTGCTGTAAAATTGTCAGTGCTGCAACTGGGCATCCAAAATTAGAGCCCTGTCATTTAATTATAGCATTGCAGCAACAACACTAAAATGCAAAAAAAGCAACAGTGTCAGGTGGCATATGCCGGTACTCATCCTTGCATAGTTTTGATTGACTACAAAGCCTTGATTTCATGCGGAACTTGGGAAGACATATATAGAGGCTCTCTGGGTCTAGGCAGCAGGACTGGATTTCCGCTGGCTGGTTCTTCAATGGTATAGATGGAAATTGTGTTAAGTGCCACCTGTGGGAACCATGAGAAAGTTATCATCTTTGGTGAAGAACCACGTTTTTGTCTAGAAAGATATTCCTGATTGTTTTTCATCCAGGTGTGATCTTTTCAGAAGCCTTATGGCTAGCTGTGCATGGCAAACGGTGGCCTTGCTGCTCGGGAGCATTGGCATGGTTGGAACATTTACTGCCACTCTGATGCCTCAGTGGAAAGTATCAGCCTTCATGGGCAACAATCTGATAGTCTTCGAGACAATTTGGGAGGGCCTATGGATGGTGTGCATCAGTCACATCAGAAAGCATCAGTGCAGATTCTATGAGTCCTTGTTGGCTCTTCCTCCTGCCTTAATAGCATCCAGAGGGCTGATGTGCACAGCTTGTGTATTGTCAGTTATTGCCTTCTTAATTGCTGTCTCTGGCATGAAGCACATCCGATGTCCTGGCAATGATGAGCAAATGAAGAGCAAGATTTTGCTGGCAGCTGGAGTGCTTTTTCTTCTGACTGGGGTTATTGTGCTGATTCCTGTCTCCCTGGTTGCCAACAACATCATCAAGGACTTCCACAATCCAGCAATCCCGGTTGCCCGGAAACGTGAACTGGGAGCTGCCCTCTATGTAGGCTGGATCACCTCCGTGTTTCTGATCAGTGGAGGAGCCATATTTGGTAGCATTTCCTGCCGTGCAGAGAGGCTTGGAAGGCACCGAAATGCATCAACATCTAACAACAGATGAAACAAACCTGAGGAAATAAGGATGAAACCCCTTAATGTGCATTCCTATGTCTAAATACTCCAATCGTTGCATGCATATTGAGTTTATTTGGGTCAGCAGTTTTCTTCTAGTTTCTACTGTCTGAGAGAGACATAGTCTACTGAATCCAGTGAACAAAAGTCATTGATGGGATTTTTTTTAGTATGCTATGTTTTGCATTGATCTGCTACTTGTGTGTGAAAGAACTTGTGGAATTTAACATCCTGTATCGAACTTGCAATAGGTAACCACACAATATTATTCCATATAGTTATGGTTATTGTTATTGTGGTGGTGGTTTTGTTATATTTAACTTTAACTTTACTATCACAACCATAGGTCAGCCATGTTAGGTGCACAAGAGTAAACTACAACAACAAAGCATATAATATTTACAGTCAAACAAAGCAGACTGAAATTCAAATTACAGTGGAGTGTAAATTCCTAATCTAGTTAGCACAGTGATTTTGTCATCTGTTTCCTTATTGTTCATGCTCCTGCACCATAATTTTACAACCTTAGCTGTGGTTTCACTTGAGGAATCAAAGAGGAGGGCAGAGATATAAAAATTTGTTGGATCTACCTGGATAATGTTTAGGCAGAGATATAAAATTTGTTGGATCTACCTGTGTGAAGAAATTGTGGAAATCTTTAGAAAGTCTGCAGTACAACAGGATAAGTTTTGCTACATTATCCCACACATGTCCTCTGACGAGTGCAGGGTGATATCTCTGCCTCCCCTTCTATGCACTTTTTTCTCACATCTGCTCTGTGAGGTAGGTCAGGCTGAGAGAATGTGGAAGGATCCAGGTCACCTAGTGAGCTTCACAGACAAGTAAGCATTTGAACTTAGGGTGAGTCTTAGGGTGCAGTTACATTAGTGGCAGAGAGCAAGCTAGTCTGGGCTGCTTTGGAATGGTTGGGCTTAATTAGAACAATCTAATGAAGTCCAATGCTTCACATGGAAATTGCTCTTGCAGCCCATATTTGCCATGTCTTAAAGAACAGATTGATAAACTGCCTGCAGCTGAAGCCACAGCTGTAGATTCAACTGTGGGCAGTTTTTTGACTGGCCCTTTGTTGTTGTTTAGTTGTTTAGTCGTGTCTGACTCTTCCTGACCCCAAGGACCAGAGCACGGCAGGCCCTCCTGTCTTCACTGGCCCTTTAAGACAAGGCAAAGAAAATATATTTTTAAATTAACATTTTACATTAGTTTTTCAATATATCTACATTCAGTTCATGCTTGTCAAACATCGTGTTAAATGGATTGCTTATAATTATTGTTTTTGCGTCTTGGTGTCTTCTTAGTTGTCCCTTCAAAATCTATATATTTTTTAAGCATTTGAACCAGTCGTGTGTGTATTTTAGTGTACAATATTGGCTACTATCATAACATTGCTCTCATAGTATACAATGTTCTCAAAATCCTCTAATAAAATACCTAATAAAAGCAATTCTGGTTTCAAATCTAAATATTTAATATATTTTTATATCTAT